AAAAGAATTCTAACCATATCAGTGGGAAAAAAAAAAAAAAAAAAAAAAAATCTACTCTCACCTAACCTTACTTTAATTTAAATCTTTAGAAAAAGACTATAGGAATCGAAAGCAGTTCCAAAAAAGAACACCAAATAAACCAGAGTACCCAAAATCTATTCTCATTTTCTGTGTAAGTCCTCTACTCCATTTCGATGGAGAAAGGTGTTTAGGGTGTGCCAAGCTTAGACACCCTCTCCTTCTCTAGGAAGTAGAAACTTTAGGACAAAGGCAAAGAGATGAGGAGAGTTTTGTTGGGGGGAATGTCCCATGCTCCTGACCAAATGTGATGCCCCAGGGGTAGTTAGCTATTGCATGCACAGCTTCCCACCCTCAACATGGAGGACCACATGCTTGGTCTCAGAGGCCAAAGCTGGAGTCGATGCATCAGAGATCAGGAATGACTGTCACATGTGGGGTCTGTTCCTCTGATCTTTTCAGGTCGATGTCTGCAGGCGTGGCTGGGCTACATTTCCAGCTAGATACTCAGTCCTCTTTCCTTGCTGTTCCAGGGACAGAGCTTGTGGCGCTGTGGGGAAATCTAATTACTACTTTTTTTCATGGTGAAATCCAATTACAGTCTCTCCCATGGTGAAAGCCAATCCTTTTAGTACAAAAAAAGAAGCTCAACAAAGGGGCTTCAAACAGGGGCTCTGCCTTCTCTCTTAGGCAACTGTGCAGAAAGGTTACAGTGGCCTTGGCTTACCTTGCTTAGGGACAATGGTCATCAATTAGGATTGCCCCCATTCTCCCATTGGATATTTAGGAATTTGAGGGATTTTCTAAGGATCCTTTAGTTAGGCAAAGCAAATGCAAGCCAACATCTACTCCCTCCATACACAATTTTTTACTCAACAAAATAACTTTTGTTTTTGAACTTGAAAGGCCATGTTCAATAAGAAAAAAAATTGAGAATGAGTTATTTAACAATATTCCCCTGTCATCTGTTTCTGACATACTTGGTGCTCTGCATACACATTCTGCCAGCCTTTCATTTGAGGTTAGTGAGAAGTAGCAGCGTTGCTTGGAAAAGGGTCATCCCAAATGCCTAAAACCTAACTGAGGTAGAGACAGTTCCCGAGACAGGGATCCATGTTTTATAAGTACCTGCCATAAGTCTATAAATGATGAAATAATAACATTACTAACCACATTCTATTGAAATCTCTACTACTGCCACACAATCTCTATACTCCACTGGATATGTATAAACCCAGATTTGCTGCTTGTGAAGACAAAGACAGGCAAATTTTTGGAGTGAGCATCCATCCATCTACTAGCTTTTCACTGAAAGTAGATGGAGTGTGGAATGGTTTTTTTCTTTCCCTTAACAAGAACAACTTTATCCTAGGTTCATATGAGTGCTATGCCCACAGAGTTCATGAAGCCACCATTAAAAGGACCTTTAAATAGCTCTGAAAGCAAAGCATTTTTACTAACTGGAGTCAACCTGAGTTACCTAATCACTTACATCATAAAGATGGTGATTAGTGTGAAGGTAGCCTGAGATCTAAAAAAAATCAAAATTTACTTAGCTGTAAGTCAGTGAAAACATGTAACTGGTTCCAAGACAGTATTGGTCAGATGCTCCTGCTCCCCTACTCCATAGGAATAATTCCTAACCCTCCAGTCAGCAGATTCCCTCAGTCTTTTATTGGGGACCAAACAGCTTGAGATAATTCTAAACTGATGTGGAGTTTTGTCGGAATTCAGAAGAAACAACACTCAAATGCTAAATCCCAAGAGCTTTTCTTCTTCTCCCTGGCTGGTCCCAACTCCAGCACGTAGCAGTAGGTTTGTGGACCTAGTAATAGAATGCAGGTCAATCTCTTTCTAGAAGAGCTTCTCAATAATTTCCTAAAACAAGGGGAGAGGAAAATACTAGAACCTTTTGCTTTCACCTAGGAAAACTCTAGTTTGAACCTTGCTACTGCCAGAGATCTTGCAATTGGTAGCTTTCTGGATAGACATACAGCAAGAGGGAGGGAAGTACTAGCCTCAGCCCCCTGATAAAAACAGCTGATTGATGTCTTCTTGTTTTTTGTTTTTTGGTGGTTTTTTGTTTGTTTGGTTGGTTTTTTTTGGTTTTGGTTTTTTTCCGGTACGGGGAATTGAACTCACGATGTTGCGCTTGCCAGGCAGGCGCTGTGCCGCTGAGCCAGATCCCCAGCCCCCGATTGATGTCTTCTTGTGATCAGAATATAGTGTTTGGTTTGAAAAGCAAGTGCTTTCTTCTAATTTGAAAAGTGCTCTGGAAAGGAAGATGTACTTATTGTAGCCTGAAATCTGGATATTTTTAACCTTTTTTCCCACAAGGTGACACACACTTGCTTACATTAGTCTGGCTCTTCCCCGTGTATTTTTCACAAGTCTTATGCATTTGGATGATGGGTACAGTCAGGACAAGGCTGCAGTCATGTTACTGGTGGCCAAGTCACCACATCGCTTCCTGACCTCTTCATAACAGGGCTGACAGCTGCAGGGATCCACAGCCTGGCTCTTGAAGTCCATATGTACTGTTGGGTCTTGTGCGGCCAAAATGGTCCTTGTCCAAAAAAATTAACAACATGTTCGCTTGAACAATATTGTTTACCCAAAATACAATTTTGTTTCAATTCAGCTAATTTAAATACTCCTGACTCAGTACATTTTTGTGTAAATTAGTAAACTTAGGACTAACCACCCCAAAGCAATGTTCTTAGACATAGTGTTTAAAATGTTTCAGCAGGCTGAGCTAATAAGTTAGGGGGTTTTTTTCAATGTGAAAGAAGAAAGGGCTGGAATGAAAGGCAAAAGAATAGGACTAATTTATTTCACAAGATCTCAGATTAATCCTGATATCATAACACCCCAGAGAGTGCATGAAAAGAGAGAAAGGGGAGTATTGTAAAGCAGAAAACATCAATTTCCAATGCAAAATGTTTCCAGGGCTAGATGCCCTTATTTGCTTCAAAAGCTCTTCCATTTCACAGCGTCTTCAAATGTTGCAATTAGAGCAGCAAAATCATCTTTGCTGGATGCTGACTGCATTTGAGTAGCTTGTAGCTTCTAGTGGTATTCAGAGATGAGGACTGCTGTATTCCATTAGAAAATAAGATAAGGGCCTGCAGGTGTGGCTTAGCGGTAGAGCAAAAGCTTAGCATACTGGAAGCCCAGGGTTCAATCACCAGCACAAGAAAGGAAGGAAGGAAGGAAGGAAGGAAGGAAGAAAGAAAGAAAGAAAGAAAGAAAGAAAGAAAGAAAGAAAGAAAGAAAGAAAGAAAGAAAGAAAGAAAGA